GAACATATGCTTAATAAATTCTGAATGAGCAGTAATACATGGAGCTCTTTGAAACATTGGTATTCTGGTAGCAGTGGTTTGTTTTGGAACAGCTTAGAAAAGGTGTTTCTTCGACGGTTGCTGTTGGGTGTAGTTCGCTAGAATATAAAGCGACTTTTCGTTCACGCAGCACGAAACTTCTTCGTTGCGGGAACCCCAGGTCCACCCCGCAGAGTGGACCTGAGGTTCTCGCAGTGTAAAAGTTCCGGACTGCGAAAACCGTTGAACCTCATGCAATCCAAACTTCGAGCCCAACTCGGATGTGCGTATTCTGCCCATAATACCCGTCGCGCAATATGGCCCGCCGAAATTGACGGGTCTTGTCGTTTCGTTCTCGTAGCATCATGCATACAAGGGCTACAGAACCCGCCAGGACAACGAATGGGCTCGAGATTTGTACTGTAAGAGGCTTAGCCCCTGTCGCAGAAACCAGAAGCGTGTCGAATGCAGACTACACGCCACAAGTGACGACGACCACGAAAAATCAAAGTAAATCTGGTAATCAGTGATTCGTAGTGATAGTCGATAAATGGTAGTTGTAATTAGTGACAACTGATAGAATACAACTGCAACAGGCTAATCATTTCATTGGCAGAAAACATTTACATTTTGTGGAGGCCGTCGTCACTTGTGGTGTGTGGTCTGCACTCGACGCGCTTCTGGTTTTCTGAAACAGTGGGTAGCTATAGATCAACTACCATTGCGATGGGAGTTCTGTATCGCTCCACTACCGTGGAATGCTCATGTTGTGCACTTAATGCCTCAGGCCGGCTACTTTTTTTAGCGCTCCACTCTACTCAGAAGTGTGCGGTTCAGTGGATAAATAACTAAATTACTTTAATTTACTATGAAAATCTTGTCACCAGGACAACATAATTTGTGACCTAAACTACTAATACCTCACTATTAGGACTCAATGCGTCAACACATATCTGCACACACGATAATTCGCAAAGAGACCTGACAAAGCTCGCAATATACATGAGATATACAGAATATGTTTCATACAAGCGAAACGAGAACTAGTTATGGTCTTCAGTCACTTTTCAGCGCTCGCACAATTATTGCTATCAAAAAATCAATATTTGAAGCGATTCAGTTGATGAGGAAATTTACAATGGTGTTTTATAGTATTTGAGAATCTTCGCAACAGAGAATCGGGATGTGTGGAAAAGGAAGTTTAGATGTGGGTCAGAAGACGTCATGGTGAGAGACTGGGAAAGGGAACAAAACAGGAGAAGTACAGCGAGATCATTCACAAAAGACTGCACAAAGTGAATACGGTAGCTCTTGGTGAATACTAAGATTTCGAGATTGCACGATCCAATGGATCGCAAGAAAATCGCCGATCAAACTGGGATAGATGTTGACTCGCTAAGCAGGTGCTGCTCATGATTTGCGTTGATCGCGCTCACGACGACGCTGAGATTCGACCGGTTGCGGTGAAGTCGCCATCGAGACGCTGAAATCATGCATTTTCATTAGTCGCAGTCCTATCATCTCACTCAAACAATAAAGATCCCCGCGACAAATCTCTACGTGGGGGGGGAAATAACTGGCCTCACTCAGAGCGAGGTGATTATTGCTGCCTGGGCACTGCATCCGACGGGAGATCGAAAACAAGGTATCTTGGGCCAATTCAATCCGAAGCTAGTGCTGGGTATATCTAACCTGTCGAACTTTTTGTAAGGTGGGTTCAAGGTAATTTAAGCCCGAACAACTATTGCGATCAAAAACCCAGATTCACCGCGATTCAGTTTTATGCAGTTAGAAAAAAAAGAGCAAGGAAGTAGAGGGAGAGGAGGGGCAGAGACGGGGGGGGGAATCCTCGATCTCGTCTCACGGTAAAGGGGTTGGTTGAAACCACCCATTTACTCATTGCGGTGCTTGACGCTGGTTGCAAGATCTTGATGATTGACCTGATTTTGAACTGAGCGGACCACGTATTCAAGAAACCCTGCCCGAGTTTCAATAGTTGCATTATTTTTCAAGGACCCATAATTCATGGCGGTTTGAATTCACCACTGACCTCTGTAAATGTTCCCTTGGCAAATGAAAGCATGTAGATGGCAAAAAGTGGCACACTGGACACGGACAACATTCGTAGAAACCATCCGAGTCCTACCGACCATTTTGGAAACACGTATCCAGGCATTTGCATCGGAGCGAGCGACGCTTGCCATACGGTCATGATGAAGATGATCTGAAATTGATCTGTGAACAAGTGGGTCGGCAAGCCACGACCGGGCATGGACGTAATCTCGTGACAATTACCATCGATATAATCGGGAAAATCAATGTACGGAAATCGGAATAGGCGAAAGCGTTTCGGAACTCGGAATCAAAAGGCAAATGGAACAAAACCATGTCAACTTACCGAGATAAATATGGGGCACATCATCCAACACACCCTCCAGTAGATTCCTGGATAGAAGCCAAGCATTGATCTGGAAACGGAAAAGCTTGAACCACACGGATTTTGTGCGGTTGTGTTCGCTTGAAATGGTCAAGCTTCGCCAAACGAGCAAGGTCTCATTTCTAGTGAAAAAGTCCTGAGTGGGGAAAAATGATGGGGCCTATGATAATCGCAATTACATGAGAAAGACCTTTATGATATACCAAAAAGCTTTTCTTTTCTCTTCGTTTTCATGTCCTTACTTCTTGTTATTATCATTTATTGTTATTTATGCTGCTTTTATTTGCTTTTTACTCATTAAATGTAGCATCCTCGCGCATGGAGAGCCCGGCAAGGGTGCAAAGTCGCTCTTCGTTTTTCACCGCTTCCGTTTCTTCTCGCCGCGGCATGGTGCCGTCTGCGCTCTCTCATCCGCGGTGGGCTCTCGCCTGTCCTCTCTCCACCGTGCTCAATCTCTCACTTGCCTTGAAAGTTAGCAAGTCTTAAATTTAGCGTACCCAACTGACTCCTTAACGTTTTCGTTTACTGATGGCCCAATCCACACTGAAGCATTCTTTTTTCGTTTTTTGTATGCAGTGACCGCACCAATTTGATCCTGGAGGTAGCTTAAGGAAGAAGAGCTCGATACTCATGGATTACTATCTTCTAAAGCAGCCAGAAATCTACAGAAACTACTCTAAGAGTGCATTAGATCTAGGCCGAGTTTGGGTGACCATGAAGTGACCTTCTGATGGCTTGTGGTCTAGGGGGGAGGCGACGTGACAGCCTAAGGTAGTCGGGATGGCGCAGCCGATTTTCACTTTTCACCGAGGGCGCGGCGCATCATTCCGCTGTAGCATAAGCAGACTTACTTGATATCGTTGCTGAACCGATCGATCCCGTAGAACCAGCAAACGGCGACCATTTCGCAGGTGACTATGAATAGAACTGAAAGCGACACACCATATTCGTCGAGAAAAGGGATCACGTACTGCCCTCCCTAAAAATATAGATCAGTGGGTAGATTGCTTGAAGTGATGATCGGAGATGATTACTTACGTAGCTGATAGCTGGAAGGCTGCCAAAATAATACAGCACGCAAACCACGCCCACAAACAATTCTCTGTTTCGCGACAAAAGACGGGACTCGTCGCAGAGACCGGTGATGAGCGCCTCTATCCCGGCGAACTGAAATGAGCGTATGAGGTGCGGAGATTCGGAGTGTGAGGTGTCGAAAGGGG